CCTCCTCCTCCTCCTCCTCCTCCTCTTCCTGCTTTTCCTCCTCCACCTCCACCTTTCCCTCCTCCTTCACTTCTTCCTCTTCCTCCTCCACCTTCTCCTCCTCTCTCCCTCCTCCTCCTCTTCTCCTCCTTTTCCTCCACTTCTTCCTTCCTTCCTCCTCTCCCTCCCCGCCTTCTCCTCCTCTTTCTCCTCCTCCTCCTCTTCTTCTTGTTCTCCCCCTCTACCCCTTCTCCTTCTCCTCCTTGAAAAAGCAGTCCAGTTGCCATTTTAAAAAGCACCTTTGATCTGGGTGACTGAGAATCTCCATGGACATTTAGCATTTCAGTTATTAGTTGACCAAAGTTTTCAGGTCTGCCATGATTTGTGAAATAGTTCCTTAAGAGCTGGCCCTTCATTCTGTAGAGGTCAATTGTCCACAAGAAAAAAAAAACCACTGCATTAAGCTTTGGAAAGCAAAACCCACAACCATTTAATCGGTTCTCTGCATTTGTCTTGTCATGTCAGCCCTTGCAAAGACCTCTCTCCCCCCCCCACCCCGAAAAAAAAGGCAAAATGGATATTTTTATATTCTGTAAGATCAAGGTTATATTTTAGATGTAAGATTTTATGTGAAGAACCTTGTAATTTATGTTTGTCCTAAAGTATTTGATACAAAATATTTAAAACTCTTGAGCATGTACATGTGTGTATATATATGTATATAGTGTTGGAAATGTTTGTACAGGAATGAATTTTACTGGTGCACTTTTGAAAAGCCCATTAGGGGAAAAAAACTGCAGCTAAAATGACCGTTTGCTACCAGCAAACGTGATCTGTTTCTTGGCGTTGTGTTAATTTAATCGCTTTTGGTTGCCCTGATCAGTATTATAGAAAAGTCTAGGATCGCACATAACACAACCTGACAATTGTGGATAGTTTTCGGTACCTTGCACATTTGACTTTTAACTCCAGGAATTTCGGCCAAGGCTTTCACGGGAAAAGAATAGGGGGAAAAAAAATCAGTAAAAAAACCAGAATTCGAAAAGAGTGCCTTTGAAAGGAAATTATGGTAATAACTATAGTTCTCAACTTATGATTATGACCGAGCCCGGAATTATGGTCGTAAATTACTGTGTTGTTAATTGTGGGGCATCCCCACAATTCTGGCTCTCCCTGTTCTAGTTGTAACGCAGAGGCATGACCCCGAGTTGCTGAACAAACAGTTGTAAGATGAGGACTACCTGGGTGATGGAAAAATAAGCAACCAAACCAACAGATCGGTTAAAAGTATTTATGCAATTATTCAACAGATATTTTACCGTACTACAACATGCTACAAATCTGTAAATGCTCTGAATTGTATTGGGGGGGTGTTCGTTTGTTCTGAAAACCACCTTGTTTTTTTGTTTTTTTTACAATAAATGTAAAATGCATAATGCCACATGTTACGACGATTTTATACTGTACAATAAACCCTGCTTTTGGATTGTTATAACGTTTTAAAAACAATAAATACATTTCTAAGAAGCGGGAGTTTGTGGTTTGCTGTTCTGCTTCCCACTTCCTTTCTCTGCCAAGGCGGTTTTGAACCGTGCTGCTAAAATCACTGTGTAGGTGCAGCAGATAATAAAATAATTGGATGGATGAACTGAGGAGCCAAGGTGGCGCAGTGGTTAAATGCAGCACTGCAGGCTACTGCTAGATCAGCAGTTCAGTGGTTCAAATCTCACCGGCTCAGGGTTGACTCAGCCTTCCATCCTTCCGAGGTGGGTAAAATGAGGACCCAGATTGTTGGGGGCAATATGCTGACTCTCTGTAAACCGCTTAGAGAGGGCTGAAAGGCCTATGAAGCGGTATATAAGTCTACTGCTATTGAGGGGCCAATCGCACAAAGAGAGAGCAAATTGGAGAAATCTGAAACAGCCTTTTTAGTCCTCCTGTTTCCTACTCACTCACCGGTTGAGATTCAACCCAAATATCTTATGATTTAGTTCCTTTATCTATTAATACTATAAGATGCAAAAGAAAATAATAGGGGAAAAAATAGAAGGGGAAACTGTGGGGAAAAGGAGAAAAAGAAAGAAAACTTTCTTTGACTTCTAACTCTCTTTGGTGCAGTAGAATAAGATAATGACATCACACCTCAACTTTTTACCTTTAAAGGTAAAGGTTCCCCTTGCACATACATGCTAGTCGTTCCCGACTCTAGGGGGTGCTGCTCATCTCCGTTTCAAAGTCGAGGAGCCAGCGCTGTCCGAAGACGTCTCTGTGGTCATGTGGCCGGCATGACTCAACGCCGAAGGCGCACGGAACGCTGTTCCCTTCCCACCAAAGGTGGTTCCTATTTTTCTACTTGCGTTTCTTACTTGCTTTCGAACTGCTAGGTTGGCAGAAGCTGGGACAAGTAGCGGGAGCTCACTCCATTATGTGGCACTAGGGATTCGAACCACTGAACTGCCGACCTTTCTGATTAACAAGCTCAGCGTCTTAGCCCCTGAGCCACCGCATCCCTTTTTTAAAAAAAAACTTTACATAATATAAAATAACAATTTCTATAACAACAAACCTATCTTATCGGTAAAACCCAAAATCAAATTTTCTTCCCTTACCTCGAGCACAAAGTCCAGAAGTAGAAAAAAAAGTAGTTTTATTTTTGTCTTTAATCAAAGCCATAAATTTAATCCATCTCTGCTAACTCCATCATCTTCTGAAGCCCTTCATCCTTTGTGCAAATCAAATGCCTTCCATTTTTGTGCATAAAATAATCTTGCTCCTGTCAATATATCTATAGCATTAAAGTTCTGATTCCCACCCCCCACCCTCAAGGCTTTTTCCATTAAAACTCAAAAGAAAAGTTTCTGGTTTTCTTTTCATATTTACTTTGAGAATCTTCTGTATTAAGATATGAATCTTTCTCTGATATTTCTTCGCTTTGTCACACCTCCGCCGTAAGTAATAAAATGTTCCTCCTTTAATTTTACAGTTCCAACATTCATGTGAAATACCTTTATAATTTCTTGACAACTTATCTGGTGTTAAATACCAACGATGAGATTCCACAAAAATATATTGAAATATCTGGAAATGAAATTCCACTTTTTGGAACTCATCTAACAAAGTGTGAATTTCATCTTTTGGAAACCAAGGTGGAAAAAACATATATCAAAAAGACACACATCATAATTAGGACTTTTTAAAAAAATATCTATATTTCAATACCGATAGTCCTTGACTTATAACCACAGTTGAGCCCGAAATTTCTGTTGCTGAGTGAGATGTTGGTTAAGTGGGTTTTGCCCCGTTTTACGACCTTTCTTGCCACAGCCGTTAAGTGAATCCCTGCAGGTCTTAAGTCAGTAACTCGGTTGTTAAGTGAATCTGGCTTTCACGTTAACTTTGCTTCTCAGACGGTCGCAAAAAGGGATCGGGTGACGCCGATACCGGTTCAGAACTGGGAGCGGGCAGGCGTGCTTCGCGCTTCTGCAAACGCACTGAACCTTCTGCGCATGCGCTGAGCATCCATGATGACATTGGGGCAGGGGGGAGGAGCCTCCCACCATCACCGCTACCGGTTCGCCCAAACTGGGGCAAAACAGCAGACTACCACCTCCGGTTATAAGTACATGCCAGTTGCCAAGAGTTCAAATTTGGATCACGTGACCATGGCACAGATGGTGTTCTGCCGGTTCTCCCTAGTTTGGACGAACCAGTAGTGGCGGCAGCGGGAGGCTCCGCCCACCTGCCTATACATCATCATGGATGCTCTGAGCATGCAGAAGTGCTGTGTCCGGCGTGCCTCACTCAATGTCCAAGAAAGAATAGCAATAGCAATAGCAGTTAGACTTATATACTGCTTCATAGGGCTTTCAGCCCTCTCTAAGTGGTTTACAGAGTCAGCATATTGCCCCCNATCCCTTCTTCCGCATTTCCAACAAAGGTCAACCTTTATGGATGGAGCAAATGCATGGATCGCAAGCATGTGACCATAATAAAATGGTCAGACCACCCCTGGAATATTTTGCATCCAGTTTTGGTCACCACATTACAAAAAAGACGTTGAGACTTTGGAAAAAGTGTGTAGAGAAGAGCAACTAAGATGATTAAAGGCCTGGAAACTAAAATAAATGAAGAACGGTGGCAGGAATTGGGTACAGCTACTCTGGAAAAAAGGACCAGAGGAGACATGACAGCACTGTTTCAGTATTTGAGGGGGCTGCCACAAAGAAGAGGGTGGCCAACTTATTTTCCAAGCACCAGAGGGCAAGGCAAGAAGCAATGGATGGGAACTAATCAAGGAGAGAAGCAAACTGGAGTTGAGGAGAAACTTCCTGACAGCGAGAACAATTACTCAACTGAACAACTTGGTCCAACACTGGAGGTTTTAAAGAAGAGATTGGACAACCATTCGTCTGAAATGGTATAGGGTCTCCTGCTTGAGCAGTGGGCTGGACTAGAAGACCTCCAAGGTCCCTTCCAGCTCTAATCTGTTCTAAAGAGATTGGATAACCATTTGTTTGGAATGGCATAGGGTCTCCTGCTTGAGCAGGGGGTGGACTAGGGCCAGAGGTGGGTATTCAGCAGGTTCTGATCGGTTCTGGAGAACCGGTAGCGGAAATTTTGAGTAGTTGGGAGAACCGGCAAATTCCACCTGTGGCTGGCCCCGCCCTTATCTATTTACTGCCTCCCAAGTCCCAGCTGATCAGGAGAAAATGGGGATTTCGCAGTATCCTTCCCCTGCCATGCCCACCAAGCCACACCCACCAACCCATGCCACGCCCACCAAGCCACACCCACCAACCCATGCCATGCCCACCAAGCCACGCCCACAGAACCAGCCGTAAAAAATGTTGAATTCCCACCACTGACAAGGACCTCCAAACTCCCTTCCAGTTCCAATCCGATTGATCTATCTAACAACCAGTCACTAAGTGAGGATTATTTCTAATAAAAATAGTATATTTTATTCTTTTTAAAAAAAACATCTTTTCTTCTTTAGGCACCGGGAAAGTGAACCTTACCAGCTGGCACCACGACAAAGGCTGGGCTAACGTGCTGAACATGACCTTCAGCGACGGGAGGCTGATAGCCAATCACGACGGCTTTTACTACCTGTACGCCAACGTGTGCTTCCGGCACCACGAAACGTTGGGCAACCTGACTGGCCAGGCGCTGCAGCTGATGGTGTCCGTGATCAAGACGGACGCCAGGCGGCGGAACTCGGTCGTCCTGATGAAAGGCGGGAGTACCAAGAATTGGTCGGGCGAATCCGAGTTTCATTTTTTCTCGGTTAACGTCGGCGGGTTCTTCAAACTGAAGTCGGGAGAGATGGTGAACATCCAGGTCTCCTATCCTTCCTTACTGGACCACTCCCCAGAAGGGACTTATTTTGGCGCCTTTAAAATAAGAGATATTGATTGAATATTGATTTTCTTTCGTTTTTCAGTTGGGAAAAAATGTGGTATTTATTCAACTGGGTTGAGATGAATTGGAGGATGGGGAGGGGGTTCTGGCTCGTAGGGGGGGTACAGCTGTATGCTGGTAGCCCTCGACTTACAACTGCCCTTGAGCTCAACGCTTCGGTTGCTAAGAGAGACAGTTGTTAAGTGAGCTTTGCCCCGTTTTTCGGCTTCTCTCCCCACTTTTGTTAAGGGAATCACCGCAGGGGTTCACTTATCGACGCGGTTGGTAAGTGAATCCAGTTTCCCCGTGGACTTTTGCTGGTCGGAAGGTCGCAAAAGGGGATCCCATGAGCCCCGGGGACACTGCAACCGTCATAAATATGAGCCAGTTGCCAAGCATTTGAATTTGGATCATGTGACAACGATGGCCAAAAGTGTGAAAATAGGGCCTAAGTCCCTTTTGTTGTTCGAGCAGTCATTAAATACCATATTTTTCAGAATATAAGACGCACCTTTCCCCCTAAAAGAGCGTGGAAATTTCGGTGCATCTTATACACCGAATATAGCCATTTTTAGCCTCCTGAAGCCCTGCCAGACATTCAATTTTTGCAAAAAAATTAGCGAAAAACGGCCTGTTTTCGGCCTGTTCGTTTACAAAAACGGGGGTGTTTTTGCCTCCCCCCCCCAGCCCTGCTGAAGCCTACAGAGTTCTCCTGGGGAGGACAAAACCTTTTTTTCTTACTTACCTCTTCGAAATCTTGGTGCGTCTTATACACCGGTGCGTCTGATAGTCCGAAAAATACGGTAGGTTGTTATAAGTCGAGGGCTAACTGTATAAATTCAACTTCCTGGGCAGTTTTACCAACTGCTCGTTTTCAAAAACTGGCTCCTAAAATTAGGATGGTCCAGCACAAAATGTTCATGTAAAGGTTTTGGGGGTAATTTGTCCTGGGGACAAATAGCTCTACAATCCTATAACTGGCAGCCCATCTGGAATGGCATTTAAACCACTGCCTATAAAAGCACTCTGAAGATCTGGAAAAATAAAATAAGGTCCCATTGATTTTAACAGAAACCGACTTCTTGAAAAGGTAAAACATTTTTTTTTATTGGTTTGGGTGAGTATTTCCAAAGAAACTCGCTTGGAATTTGCATTGTTTCGTCTGGATCGACCCCTGGTGTAAATTTGCACAGTACGGAGAGTCCTCGACGTACAACCACAATTCGTGTTGCTAGGTGAGAAATTTGTCAAGCAAGTTTTGCCCCGTTTTACGACTTTCCTTGCCACGGTTGTTAAACGAATCATTGCGGTTGTCAAATTAGCAAACACGGTTGTTAAGTGGATCTGGCCTTGACTTCGCTTGTTAGAAGTTCGCCGAAGCGGGAATCATGTGACCCCGGGAACAGCAAAACCGTCGTAAGTACATGCCAGTTGCCAAGCCCCTGAATTTTGATCACATGACCCTGGGGAATGCAGCGACGGTCGTAAGCGTGAAACATGGCCTTAAGTCATTTTTTTTTCAGTGGCATTGTAACTTTGAACGGTTGCTAAGTGTTGTAAATCAAGGACTACCTGTAAATTTTTGGCCTGGTTTTGAGGGAGCTCTCAGAAGTGTGCCTTACAAATTTTATTTTATACACAGTACTCAGTAAAGCAACTTATGCACTGATGCTGCCTTACATTTTGAAATTAAAACATCAAGAGGGGAAAAAACTAGTATAAATCAATTTAAGGAGGGGTTTTTTTAGAATTTGGAATATGGAACCTTCCCTTCCTGAATGATCAAAATATATTTTCCCATTTTGTGCCGGAGGGATTGCATCTTAAGTGTCTCATATCTTTGCCTCCTTCTGTTTCTCTTCTGGATCCCTTCCTCTGGGACCATATAGAATCTTTTTCTTGTAGATTTTTGGCACTGAATTTGTCGCCTGTAATCTGCGATCTGGGACGCAATTCTACTGACTACAGGGGTTCAAAGGGCTTTCCCCCTTTTTTTGCGATATGTTGTCAGCGGCCAAAGAACCAGGGTGGGCCTGTTTGCTGCATGAAAGGATGGGGACTATGAGAATTGATTGACAGATAAAAATGTGGCTTAGATCTGTGATGTTTCTTTGGTGGGATGTTCATTCCATTGCTGTCCATAGGAACTCGGTTGAGTAAATTTAGTCTAGAGTCAGACAAATGTTGTACGGAGATTCTCAGGCATCAAGTGTTTTGCTTCTCATCCAAGAAGCATCTCCTTCTTCTTGTTCTTGTTCTTGTTNTCCACTCATCCATCCATCCTTCCTTCCATCCATCCTTCCTTCCATCCATCCATCCATCCATTCATCCATCCTTCCATCCATACATCCAAGGATGTTATCTAATACATGCTTGACGAAATAAATAAATAAAATAAATAGCTGGAGGTGGAGGAGTTTCCAATCGGCCTTTTTTCAGATACGAGAGCGTCCCTTTGTGGGGTCTCTGCCACAGCCAGCACCCCTGCTCTCCCCTTCCCTGCAGACAGAGCTTTGGAGAGGCCCATCCCTTCCTCCTCATTGCTTTCCCAGACCCCCTGGGGTGGAAAGAAGATAAATTAGTTTCTGCTATTTCTTAGTTCAGGAATTGCAGGAACTTTGGTCCTGCGATTTTTCAAATAATACTTATATTAAAAGTTTTAACTACAATAATAACAAAGAGAATAAAAAGTGCAAGAAAGAGAAAAGTAAAAGTAAAAAAAACTAAAAAAGTAATTTGCCCCTCTTATTAGGAGAAGCATAAAGATTTTCACTATCTGAGCCTGCTGCTCGGACCCAGGCAAAATCCATGCATCAGGCAGCCCCTTTGCTCTCAAGAAATCTCTCCACATGGGCCTTTTTCGCTCAGCCTTCTTGACAGCAGAAATGATGCCCGACAGATTGATTTAATTCCACACAGGATGGAGTCCTTCAGCCAAGTTAGGCTTTCGCTCCCAAGGAGGCTGGGTGAAAAAAATCCCTCCAAAAATCCAAGTGGGAAATCCTGGTTGGATTTTGGGATGGTCATTTTTCAGTCAAACAACCCCCCCTCCCCGAGCCAGAGGAAGTTGTCTGGGCAGGGAGCAGTGGCTTGTAGAATCCCTGTGGTTTCCCCACTGACTTGTTGGAGAAGCCAGCAGGGAAGTTTGCACAGGGCGATCACACATGATGGAGGGACGCTTGGCAACCCATAGCAAGTGCATGGGAATCACGTGACCATAGAGCTGTTACAACAGTCATACATTTGGTCTGCCATAAACCCCCCTCGTTCAGCATTGGCTTTGATCAGTAGCTGAACAAATGGTCCTTAAATAAGGACTACAATCGGAAGAAGGCGGGGCTTAGCAGTGAGAAGATGGACCTTCAGGCAGTTCCTGAATGACCATCTATACCGGGGTCTTTTTTTGGACGATTCGTTTGAATCTAAGCTGT